GAGTGACAGGGGGTTGCACCGCAACCTCCCCATCGGCCCTGCCTTGAGTGTGACAGGGGACGGTGCCGTAACCCCCCAATTGGCCCTACCTTGAGCGTGACTGAGGGTGGCATCGCAAGCTCCCGATCCGCCCTGCTCTGTGCATAACAGGGGGCGGCGCTCCAACTCCCCAATCGGCCCTGCTCTGAGCCCGACCAGGGGCTGCACCTAGGGATTAGGCCTACCCTCTGCCACCCGGGAGCAGGCCTAAGCCAGCAGGTCGTTATCTCCCGAGGGGTCCCAGACTGTGAGAGGGCACAGGCCGGGCTGAGGAACCCCCCCGCCCCCCGAGTGCACAAATTTTTGTGCACCAGGCCTCTAGTATATATATTTATATCTCCTTCAGAATGTGCCAATGGCAGAGTACAAATCCCAAGAGAGGGTAGCTCAGGGGACAGAGGCAGAAAAGTTAACTGCAGAGACTGGCAAGATCCACAACATGCCTGCTGCACACCCAGTAAAACAGTTACAGCAGTTCCAAATGCTACAATGGTGTCAGGACTCCTCAAAACAAGACTAGAGGTGAGACTGGCTTCACAGTCCATGTCAAGAGCTTTAAACTGTGCAGGACCCATATCTTCCTCATCATTTCTTAATTCAGTAAATAAACAATGACTCTGTGCCAAGTTCAGGTGATAGTGATGACCAGAACAGACTTTGTCCCCATCCTCATGGATTTATCCACCTAAAGAGAGAGACAGACATACAGATGCTGACACCACAGATGGTCAGGGCTGAGAAGGGGGAAACCCAGAGACTGCTGGAAGCCCAGAACAAACACTTGGCCCACCCTGGGGGATCGCGGAGGGCTTCCTGGAGAGCAAGGCATCTTAATTGAGACCTGAAAGAGGTGTGAAATTATCTGTGAGGAGGAAGTTGTGAGAAAGAGGGGTACTCCCAAAAGAGGGGAAAGTATGTGCAAATGCTTAGAGGTAAAAAGGGGTCTGCAGTGTTCTAGACCAGCACAGCCAATAGAAATATAAGGAGACCCACCAATGTAACTGAATTTTCTAGTAGGCATATGAAAAAAACACACGTTAATTTTAATAATGTTTTATTTAATTCGATATATCCAAAATATTACCATATTAACATGTCATCAATATAAAAATTGAGATATTTTACATTCTTTTTTGTAGTAGTCTTTGAAATCCGATGGGTATGTCACACTTGAAGTACATCTCAATTCACACTAGCCACATTTCAAGTGCTCAATAGTCACATGTGACTGGCGGCTGGACTACTGAACAGCACAGCAAGACCCTTGCTGCTCCAAACACTGGCATGACTTGGGAGCTTATTAGAAATGCAGAATCTCAGGCCTCTCCCCTGACCCACTGACTCACAATCTGCAGTTCAACAAGATCCCAGGGAATTTGTATGCACATTAGTTTGAAAAAAAAAAAATGTGTCCAGTTCTGCCTAAAACATTCTGTGGCTTCCTATTTTCCTCATGACAAACGCTCAGCTATTGACCTTGGCAATCACTCATTCATTCATCACTGTTACTGAGCACCTAGTGAGTGTCGGGCCCTGCACTGGGTGATGCTGGGGACACAGGAGGGACGAAGACAGACCTGATACCTACCCTCATGGAGCTCTCAGGCAATTAATATAGATAAGTATCCAAATCCCTATTTCATTCTGACCATGATAAACATAATGTAAAGTGTGCGAGGAGTATTACAGGTGGCCTGACCTGGTTTTGGGGGTGAGGGGGAGAGCAATCCCGAAAACAACCCAAATACATAAGAGAACACGATTAGGGCAAAAAGCCACGCGCAGATTAAATGTCCCACTGCAGGGGAGGAGCCGGCCAAGCAACACCAGCCTGTCCATGGTCACTGAGAAGGATCATTTTCAGGCTTCAGAGCAACGGGGATAAACGCTGAAGGATAGGGTTCCCGGAAACAAGCCAGGGACAGAGCCAGGTGATAGTATCACACAGATCTGTCTGCATTTGGAAAATGAGGGAGAGGGAAGGTGGTCAATTTGCCAGCAGGGAGAGGACTTGGAGCAAGGAATTGTAGGTTTCCTTTTCTCTAAAGAAAATGTCTTATGTATGTGGTTTTGCATTAAAATAACTGAGCGGAGGAGAAAAAGTGTGCAGGATATAAATGGAACAAGAATTGCCATACGCTGGTAATTGTCGAAGCTGGGGGATGGGGACATAGGCCTTCATTAGACTTCTCTCTGCTTTTGTGTAGTTCTGAAATTTTCCCTAAAAAAATAGTTAAAAGTGTTTTTCTTTACAAATAATTGGGGATGTTGAAAAGAGATTTTTAGCAGCTGGAGAAGTAAGCTCTTCTTCCCAAAAGAAGAAACTGCAGAATCAGAAATGTGAACATCTCCTTTAAGAATGGCATCCAGGAGGAAGGCGGTTAAAGGCACAGACAATGGAACCAACCAAGTCTCTTGGGTTCTAGTCCTAGTACTGCCACTTACTAGCTATGGAACCTGAAGCGTTTGATTTAAACTCTAAATGCCTCTCACAAAACACTGGGAAAGGAATAGCAGCTGCCTCCTAGAGCCTGTATGAGGATTACGGAATTAATCCACGGAAAGGGCTGAGAACAGGCCTGGCATGAGAAAGGCGTCAGGTAGGTGATCGAAGTTATCGTTAAAGCACATGCTAGCCAGATTTGAAAACAAAAAATGTCTCAAAGTGGGTACATTCACAGTTGCTTTACCCTAAATTCACTGTCCCAATTGTTACTGACATCATAGCCTAAGACAAAGATTCTCCCAACACCAAAGATTCCTCTACATATACAAAATCCTTTTATATAACTCAGTTGTTCCCAATGCTTGTAAGACACTATTCAGACAAATTACACAAGCCATGTTTACAATGATAATTATGAAAATTCATGGCAGAAAATTCCCTCAGTGGATGTGACTCAAAAGGAAGCTTACAAGTACTCCTTCAAAGTACATTCCAGCACTTTCAGATTCTAGCACAGTTACAGTGTGCACAGACAATAAACCTCTATGCTCTTCTTGCCTCTGTAGAATTCTTAAATAAAACAATTCCTAAAAGGTTTTTTCTCTTAAATTCAAACACATGACTTTTTTTTCTTATTTAAATTTTCTCCCACAACAGCTATTGGTGTTACATTGGTATTCAATGAAAACACGTTCATTGCGGGGGATATCTGTAACACTGTCAGCAACAAATAAAAACATGTTCATTGCAAAAATTGTTTTAAAGTGAAGCTACCCTACACACCAACTTCCAACACTCAGGATAACCACTGGTTACACTGTATTCATTATCCTTACAGATGGTGATGTCTGGGGAGTTCCAAAATAACATGAGTGGGAAGAAAGTGGGTGGGGCAGGACCGGCGGGCTGAAGATTGTTGGGGCTGGGTGAAGATCTATGTAGAGACCCAGGTGAGCACATTGATCATGTTCAAGGAAACAAAGAAGTTCAGTGGGTCTAGAGCTTAGGCAGTCAGGGAGACAGGCTGAGATTGTGATGGTCAGGGGCCAGATCACACCAAGCCTCAGTACTAGAAGGAGATAGGACCCTATCCTAAGGACACTGGAGAAACATGGGATGCACTGAAGCAGAAGGACATGGTTAGATTTGTGTTTCACAAATATCCCTCTCACTGACAAGTGGGGGTGGGTTAGAGAGATGGGAGGCCAGAGGCCAAGGAGGAGGGCAGGCAGAGACAAGGTGGGAGAGGACAGGATTTGCCAACGTGGGACCATGAAGGCAAGAAGAGGCAGATGGAAGACATCCAGGAGTCCTAGTGGACAATCTGTGGAGGCTGATGGGTAGGGCTGGGGGGTGGGGATGGGGAAAGAGGCATCAAAGACGAAGCCCAGGACTCTCTGAGAGCCTGGGGTAACCCCTGAGGTAGAGACTGAGAGGAGGAGGAGGTTTGCAATTTGGAATATAGTGCATGTTAAAGACCCAGAGATCACCCAGGCTGAAGGGGAAAGGGAGTGGTGGCCTCATGAGGCAACCCACATCTGGGGCCCAGGGACGATGCAGAGATGTAGGGCAGAGTGGGCGTCATCAGCACAGAGACAGCAAACCAACCATAAATGAGATTAAGATGGCCCCGGGGTGGGAGTTGAGAAGAGCTTCCCCCACATTTAAGGGATCAGGGAAAACAGGAACTTCTTGTAAAGAAGCAAACATAGGAAGAAAATCAGGGGAAGCAGTGTCAGAGAAACCACAGGGAGTGGTTTCTAACACTGCCAGTTTTTGCCAAGATGGTCAATACGTGAGCCCAAAAAAGTGCCCACTGAGCCAAGTTTTTTATTGTCAGAGAAAGAAGTTACAAAGAAAGCAAGGAGGGAAGGTGCGAATGAACCTTTTGGGGCTGGATTAGAGTCAGAAATATCAGTATTGCCCTAGCCGGTTTGGCTCAGCGACTGGAGGGTTCGGAGTTCGTTTCCGGTCAGGGGCATGTACTTTGGTTACAGGCTCGATCCCATTTGGAGCACATGCAGGAGGCAACCAGTCGATGTGTCTCTCTCACACCACCATGCCTTTCCCCCTCCCTTCCATTCTCTCTGAAAATCAATGGAAAAATGTCCTCAGGTGAAGATTAACAAACAAACAAACATACACACACACACACACACACACAGTAGGTCCTCGTGTTACGTTGGGAGATCCGTTCCTACGGCGCAACCTAATGCAATTTTCATGTAAGTCGGAACCCACCTACATACGCACCTACGTCACCCACATGGAGCACATACACAGCAGTAATGAAGTGAAACAGTAAAAAAATTTAAAAGAAAGATAACAATTCCTGACCTTTACTATGGTAAATAATAAAAACATAAAGCACATGAGTACATACGTCAAAATGACGGAACTTTTTCTTTTTAAATAAATACTGTACATGGGAGATGGCGATGTAACCAAGAAATGACATACGTGAAGTCTGATGTAACCTGAGGACTGCCTGTATATATGTATCAGTATTGGCTCATGTTTATTTTTATACACAGATAGCTATATCTATCTATACATACACACACAGAAAAACAGATGTGTGTGCATACCTGGGTTTGTACACATACATGTATTTCCTAGCTGTCAGCTGAGAGGGACTAGAAACAGTGACACCCCAGTAGCAATGACCGTATTCATTGTCCCTCGGTTTCTGATACCTTTCTCCAATACCTGGAGAAATGGTTGATTCCAGGGTTGGGGCAGGGAAAAAGCAAGATAAGCCTGAATCATCTTCCAATGCCAGAGAGTAAGGAGAAAAAAAATAAAGAACATAGGAACCAACCTGAAAGAGCCCCTATGGCCAAAACCAATTATTCTGGAGTGAAAAAATTAATTATGACAGTACTGGATTATACACAAAGAATAAAATAAATATCCATGAGTCCATACTGATAAAAATGAGTGATTATACAAATAAAATAAATGGGGTAGAAGAGACAAATCTTCCTACAGAAGAATTCCAAATAATAAATGTAGAAGAAATGAGGGAAATAGAAAATGAATACTAGAATACCACAGTAATAACTGTCTCAGGCAAGATCCATGATAAATGCTAAAATTCGTGGGTGGAACTTTGAGGAGAATCAGGACATTTGCACAGTCTCAAAGTATCTTCCCATACTTATTGTGACAAATTCTTTTATTTTTTCCTTTTTCTACAGGAACTGGAGCTTAATTCTCCTCCTTTTGAGTGTGGGCTGGATTTCGTTACTTGCTTCTAACAAACAGAATAAGAAAAGGGAAAAACAGTAACACTATAGTTAAGTAACCTGATAGATACCACCTTAAAGTAGTGATCCAGGTAAATATCAGCTGAAGGTATTCTTTCCCAAACCTATAATCCCAGTCTAACCATGAGAAAAATATAGAAACCCAGACTGAGGGGCAGTATACCTCAAAACTGTCAAAGTATGTAAACCAAGGAAAGACAGAAACTGTCACAGACTGGATGAGACCAAGGAGACATGAGAAATAAATGCAACATGGTATCCTGGACTGGATCCTGGAACAGAAAAAGAACATTAGTGGAAAACGGGTAGGATATGAATAAAGTTAGAATACTAATCAACATTAACTTCCTACTTTTCAAAAATGTACCATAAATATGTAAGATGTTAACTTTAGAGGAAGTTGGGTACAGGGTATATGGGAAATCTTTTGTATTTTCTTTGCAACTTTTCTGTAAATCTAAAATTATTCAATATAAAAAAATTATTTAAGTATTTACTGACTTGGCTACAAGTCATCACCTGCAGAGACCCCCTAACTCCCTTCATCTGACTCTTCAAATCTCACCTCATGTGTTCTCCACTCCAGGAAGTCCTTCTTGATACCTTAGACTAGAGCAAGTACTTCCTCTGGGCTCCCACAGCACCCTGTAATGCCCGCTATCCTGGCCCTCCCTGACCCCCGGCTGGTGAGGGGGTGTCTCCCCCACTGGATGGGTGCTCTCAGAGGGCAGGGTGGAGGCTGTCCCAGTCACTGCTGTCTCTCTCTCACATGAGGAGTGAAGAGTGTCTGCCTTCCTGATTACTATGGCAGGCAGAAGCTGTGTTGGATCCCCATCACTTCTCCCAACGTAACTCTAACCTTTCTGGGGTCAGAGCCTGCCAGAGCCCAACTTCCTCATCTCTCCCACCCCGTTCACACATCTGAGGCTACATAAATAATGTCTCGCCCTAGCCGGTTTGGCTCAGTGGATAGAGCATTAGCCTATGGACTGAAGGGTTCTGGGTTCAGTTCTGGTCAAGGGCATATGCCCGGTTGCGGGCTGGATCCCCAGAGGAGAGTGTGCAGGAGACAGCCAATCTGATTCTTGCTCATCATTGATGTTTCTATCTCTCTCTCCTCTCCCTTCCTCTCTGAAATCAATAAAAATATATTTTGAAAAAAAGGTCCCTGGCACACATTTCTAAATGGCCTCCTGCTGAGGGGCTGGCAC